CAATTTTAAATTTAAATTTAAATTTTAAATTTAAAATTTTCAATCTAAAAGTTCAAATTTAAAATTTTAAAATTTTAACCATCAAATAACCATATCAATTGTGCTTTCTCTTATTACTCCACTTTAATTTCTTCAACTTTTCACATCCAAGATTCTCATTTTGCGAAAATATAAAATTTTTTAAAAAAATCTATTTATTCTCTAATCTATTTTTATATATATAAAGAAAAACATTGAGTCTGATGAGAAATAATTTAAGAGTAGACAAGAAACTTTTTTTCTTACATAGTTTATAAGTAGATATATAAAAAAAAATACAAAGATTTATATATATTTTTTATTTTACCACAGCAGAAAATCGGAAGGAAAAGAGCTTTCTCTCTCTAAAAAACAAGAAAAAAGAAAAAGAAAGTACTAATAGGACTATAGGACATAGTTTTTCCTATAAATACTGGAACAAGATGGTTTGTCGTGAATAAAACGGAGCTGCTGCCGATGCTCTGCTGCATTTGCTAGACTGCTGAGTTTGCTGAGTTTCGTCTCTAGTTTCCCGCCTTTTCTGCCCTCGCAAGCCGAAGGAAAGCGGCGGCTGCGGGAGAGTTACGACGATGGATGCTTACTCTCTGCATCTCGCCATGGCGACTCTAGTCGGAGCTTCCTTTGTGGCCGTATCCGCTTATTACATGCACAGGAAAACCCTAAATCAGCTGCTGGAATTTGCCAAGACGGTAGAGAGGGAGAGGGAGAGGAAGGAGAATTCCGAGGCTGAGTCGACACAACACTCCAAGCGACGGCGGAGCCACCACTCGCGCCGGAAGGGGAACGGATATAACCGGCGTTACTCCGCTTCTCTGCCGGACGTCACTGCGATTTCTGGTGGAGCTGATGGAGAGGAGAAGTGCAATGGTCCGGTTCAAGTGGACGGGATTCCGGCTGGCTTGCCAAAGCTTCACACTTTGCCTGAAGGTAAACTCGTGCTTGGATTCAGGGGTTCTGATGATGAGTTGTTCAGTGGTATAGGTGATGTTTAGTTAGGTTGAAGTTAGGGAATGATTACTGTACTGATTGTAGTTGGAGCTTCCTTCTTGCAACTTATAGCAAAATCATGATTGATGAGGAAATGTCCTCCATCTGCAGCTGCGCAAGAATAAGATTGATATGTAGTTATGATCTTACTAATTTATGTTTGCTTTTGATTTTTACCAATCATTTTTCTAATTTGATGGTTCCATTTTTAGCTGATTAAGTAGAGTGGCATTTGGCTTCAGGAAAGTCTGGTGGGCACTCAAGTTCAGCTAAGAGAGTCGGAAGCCTTATCCGTCCAACCTCTCCCACGTCGCCCGTTGCTAGTGCTAGTGCCTTTGAGAGCTTAGAAGGATCGGATGAGGAAGATAATACGACAGAGAATTCTAAGCTGGACAATTCATATCTGCATATCAATGGAATTGCTGTGAGTTAAATTTAAGTTATGGATGCACCACCTCCTTTTTCTTTTTCCTTTTTCTCTCCTGACCTGATTGGTTTCTTATTTCCTACTGATGTTATTTCTTAGATGCAATTATTGTCTTATACTTCAATGTTACACATTTAGGGTCCAAATTTGCCAGACCACATTAATACCAATGGAGAACAAATACCAGTAGCAGCTTCAAGCATGATTCGATCCCATAGTGTATCTGGTGACCTTCATGGTGTTCAGCCTGATCCTATTGCGGCTGATATTCTGAGGAAAGAGCCTGAGCAGGAAACCTTCGCACGTCTGAGAATTACTCCTACTGGTATTTTGTTTCTTCAGAATTTAAATGAATTCATGCATGAAGAATTTATATATATATATATATATATAGATATAGATATTATTTTTTATCTGCTTCATAAACTACTTTGCAACCTCACCTGTGTCCTGATGTTGTCAAAATAAATTCTTAGTAGTTGATTATTTAATAATAAGAAAGAGGAAAGAATCTGCAAATTCTAAGCATGCCAATTTCAAAAGAATCTGATATTTGGTTGTGAAATGTGATTTGGGAGATCTATTGTCTAATTTTGGTATCTATGGCTTTTACCAGAGTTACCAACATCAGATGAAATTGAGGCCTACTTGCTTTTGCAAGATTGCCTTGAGATGCGAAAAAGATATGTATTCAAAGAGGCAATTGCTCCATGGGAAAAAGAAATTATATCAGACCCTGGCACACCAAAGCCTAACCCAGAACCATTTTTCTATGCTCCTGAGGGAAAATCTGATGTAGGTTTATATGTGCGTTTACAGATTCTTTGTTGAAAGATCCCCTGTTTTTCTCATACTTATGAGTACACATTTTTTTTCCTTTTTTCTTTGTTCTTTATACTTTTTCTTACAGCATCATTTTGAGATGCAAGATGGTGTTATTCATGTCTATCCAAATAAAGAATGTAAGCATCAAGAGACTTAATACTGAACACCATTATTTATCAAGATTTAAACTTTTCCCAAGTTTATTTCATTTTATCTTTATTTTATTTCAGCAAAAGAAGAGCTGTTTCCTGTTGCTGATGCAACAAAATTTTTCACCGACTTGCATCATATACTTCGGGTTATTGCATTGGGGAATATGAGAACTTTGTGTTTTCAGCGGCTAAATCTTCTTGAACAGGTGGATACTGAACTTATGATTATTATTAAGTGGATGATACTTTGTAATTTTGTTATTAAATACATTCTCATTTGAACGCCACTCAGAAATTCAATCTCCATTTGATGCTCAATTCGGATAGAGAATTTCTTGCTCAGAAAAGTGCACCACATCGGGACTTTTATAATGTTAGGAAAGTTGATACTCATGTTCATCACTCCGCATGCATGAACCAGAAACATCTTTTAAGGTTTATAAAATCAAAGTTGAAAAAGGAGCCTGACGAGGTAATTTTTATGTGGTTGTTTTAATTTTCATACCAACTACTCATTGTTAAGGACAGGGAGGATATAAAAAGTAGCTTTCTGCAGACTATGTTTGTGTTGAACATGTTGTCTTTATATGAACTGAATTTTTTGTTCAGGTTGTTATATTTCGAGATGGAACATATTTGACACTTAAAGAAGTTTTTGAGAGCTTGGATTTGACTGGGTAACGGTTTTCTTTATTGCATTTGAGAACAATGACGAAAAAAAGTCTTTGTTCTCTGAACAAGTTATTTTTTAGAGTTAAAATCTCATAATCTAATTTTCTTTGCATTTATTGAACAGGTATGACTTGAATGTTGACCTTCTGGATGTTCATGCAGACAAGAGCACCTTTCATCGCTTTGATAAGTTCAATCTCAAGTATAATCCCTGTGGTCAAAGTAGGCTAAGGGAGATTTTCCTTAAACAGGACAATCTTATCCAAGGTGCATCGACACATTTCCTTCTCTAGCATTAAAGATAGAAAGTGGGATTTTAGGGTTTAAAATTTCAAAGTATACATCTTATTACTACTTACTAGGCACTTATTTTTTTAAAATTCTGTTGTTGGTTTCTGCCCATTAAAAAAATTGTTGTTTTAGGTCTTAATATGTTTTCATTTGATTGATTTGAAACGTTCTTCAATACTGAAAGTGCGGTGTCTTGTTGCTGAACAGGTCGTTTTCTTGCTGAACTCACAAAGCAAGTTTTTTCTGATCTGGATGCTAGTAAATTTCAGGTGTTTCCTTTTTCTCTTTTATACATTTTCAATTTTCACAAAAACACACTCAAATGGATATATGTTCTTTTGGTATTTCCATATCTGATTTTCAATTTGGTCAATGCAGATGGCTGAGTACAGAATATCAATATATGGTAGGAAGCAAAGTGAGTGGGACCAACTGGCTTCCTGGATAGTAAATAATGAATTGTACAGCGAGAATGTTGTTTGGTTAATTCAGGTGCAGCACCTTTCTGAAATCCCTACTTTGAGTATTTTCTCTGATCTATACTTGCAGGTGTGCACCTGTTGATTAATCCATAATATGTGATAGAAACCTTTGAAAATTTGGATTTAGGTTGTCTATCTGGTTTTGATATTCTCCATCTGTAGTTGAGCAATTTGTTAACAGTAAGGTTTTGATGCTAAATAATGATGATTATATCATTTGGACTTCTTACAGAACTCATGCCTATCCGTTGCAACTTCTCTATAAATATTTAAGGGATGCTTTGTTGTGCTAATTTGATGTTTTCTGTTTCACAGATACCTCGTCTGTATAACATATACAAGGAAATGGGGATTGTGACATCATTTCAAAACATTCTTGACAATATATTTATTCCTCTGTTTGAGGTTACTGTGGATCCAGATTCACATCCTCAATTGCATGTTTTTTTGAAACAGGTCTCTTTCTTCACTCTTTCCAGGGATTTGTAATCTTGTGATTTATTCAATAGTCATGACATCTACGTCTCTTATTTGTGTATTTAGGTTGTTGGATTGGATTTGGTTGATGATGAAAGCAAACCTGAAAGACGGCCAACCAAACACATGCCCACACCTGCACAATGGACTAATGTTTTTAACCCTGCTTTCTCCTACTATGTCTATTACTGCTATGCTAACCTCTACACATTGAACAAGGTGTGTGTCAAAGAGTTGTCTTTTATGTTTGGAATTATCCATCTCTAATAAATTACTTTGTTAGCCTTTTTATTTAATCAAGTTGTGAAAATGAGTGGAGTGACATCTATTCATCTTCTTCAAATAGGATTTCCCAGTAGTTGCTTTTTTTCTAACATTGTTGTGGATTTTTTTCCATAACATAAGTGAATCTTTTCCAAAATACATTCCATGGTGGCTTATCTAAAATATCTAGATGAGTGTAATTAGCATGGAATGCAACCACATTGATTTTGGCAAATAAATGCTCATATGTGAGGTATTTCTTCTCCAGCTTCGTGAGTCAAAGGGAATGACAACCATCAAATTCCGGCCACACTCTGGAGAGGTATTCATTGAATCTTGTGTTCTTGCTCCAGTGTTAGTTTGTCTTTACGCCTCATGCGTTAATATTTTCAGGCTGGTGACATTGACCACCTCGCTGCAACATTTCTAACAGCTCATAATATTGCGCATGGAATTAATTTGAGAAAATCTCCTGTGCTCCAATATCTGTATTACCTGGCACAGGTATGGAATCCCATTTAGTTGATTTTCTGATCTGCTTGTTGCAATTTCTAACTATCCATGATGACACATGGCCTTTGGTTATTAGATTGGTCTGGCCATGTCTCCTCTGAGCAACAATTCCTTATTTTTGGACTATCATCGGAACCCATTTCCAATATTTTTCCTACGTGGACTTAATGTTTCTCTTTCTACGGATGATCCACTTCAAATCCACTTAACAAAAGAACCATTGGTGGAAGAATATAGCATAGCTGCGTCGGTAAGCTCTTTCTCTCTCATTGAGAATCAAAGGCATATCCTTGTCAACAATCAAGTGTACTGAAGTCCTTCACTCACAGGTCTGGAAGTTGAGTTCATGTGATCTATGTGAAATTGCCCGCAATTCAGTCTACCAGTCAGGTTTCTCACATGCACTTAAGGTAAATGTCCTTCTCCTAACTTTATAAGACATGCTGATAATTTGGGAGGCCAGTTATCTGCCACTGCCCACATAAATAACAGAGATCTGGTTGAGATACTGATGTATTGTAGTTTGTGAAGAGAGTATTCATTTCTGGAATTCTGTATGGAGACATGCCAATCAATTTCCCTTCACACAAATTGTCCGTTAGGGAATTTTCCCCTCATCAAGAAGATGGAGAAGATAATAAATAAATAATAAGAACACAGTTCTTAGTTCATTTGGATCATTTGTTGTGCAGCTAGTTGAAACAGCTTATTGCAATTTCTGTTTCAGTCTCACTGGATCGGGAAAGGGTACTACAAGAGAGGACCCAGTGGAAATGAGATTCGCAAAACGAATGTGCCTCATATCCGGCTGGAATTCCGTGACACGGTATGGGATTGCCTATAATCTTTCATGCAAGGCAACTTTGTTTTTTTCCTCAATTGTTTCTAACCTTCCAATTGTTTTTGAGAGGCTGTTTGAACAATCCTTCTGACAAATGTTGGAAGGAAAAAAAAAAAAAAGTTTCTGTTGCTCCCGTTCCCCCCCCCCCTCCCCCCCAAAATTACTTTCATTAGACTTTTACTTTCTTAGTCCCTTTTTTGTGCATGTTATCATCCAACTGTTACCCTTCTCCAGATCTGGCGAGAAGAAATGCAGCAGGTTTATCTAGGAAATGCTATTATTCCCAGAGAAGTGGACTAGTAAATGTACGAGGCCTTGCACCTACTACCCCATTCTTGAACATCATGCATATATTTAGGAGGTACCATCAGGCTACCTTGAACATGATGCATATTTTTCAAGAGGTTTCTGAATCTCATGGAAAGGAAACTGATTGAATATTCTGGGTTTCTCTTGTTAATTGCAGAGGTTAGGAACCTACCTTATATCCTCTGTACACAAAACTTGTGAGAACCAAAGAAAAGGCTTATAGCAAGCAAGAAGCCATTACAGACATTGAAGGATGCCGTGGCTGATGACGTGCATGGTTGTTGAGGACTTGGAGAGAACCGTAGTTGCTTCTGTGGAGTATGATATTATAAATACACAACCCTATAGCAATAATTTACTTATCTGCAATATGAAGTCATACCGTTGCGATATACCTAATGGTTAGGAACAAGAACAACTATTTAAAATACCCTGTTGCAGTTGATACTGTAAGTTATACTTGCGGCAAGATGGGAAAATGCTCTCTTGCTTCATAAAATTTTGACACAACTTTATCAAGGATTATGGTGGTCTTGTGGAATGGTCAACATGATACAATTGCATTCTGAATTTTCTTTGTTTAGTTTTAGGTTCTTTCTACTGCCTTCCTGCTCCTTCTCTACATATCCTCCTTTTCACCAATGTATGACAACCATAATGCTTGAAGTGAAAGAAGCCAATATTATGTCCGTAGATTCTCAGAAACTATAATGTGAAAGAAATTTGATAAATAATCTCAAGTATCCTAGGTAACATCAGGATGTTCCAAAATCCTACAACAAAAGACTAGCTCTGTATGAATGGGAAAAAAATGGAAGAAATGTTATCCTACTTTTTCTGCTGCTTTATCTCCTTGATTATGCCATCAGCAAGCGAGTTGAAGTCATTGTTCTTCCCAAAAAATTTTACCAACTCCATATCAGGACCCATTGGTACCTGCATAACAAGAATGTTGTTGGGGCTGAAACAGTTGGAGGATAAATGAAATGTGTTAAAAAAAAAAAAAGGGTTTTGAGCTGAAGCTGACTGCAAATAAATAGATACTATAAAGTAAATGATTAGATGCATGGATAAGTAACAAGAAGCAAACTAGCACACGATGAGTACATACTTGGAGAAATGGAAAATATAGACAGGGACTTAAAAAAGGTTAAATGTTTATTTACTCTTCACAACTGCAAGTTGAATACATCCAAGAGCTTCGACTATTACTCCTTAATACCCAAGTATTCTCATTGTGTAAGTGACTAAATCTCAAATATATTAACTTTTTTTCTTTTCTTTTTTGAATTTCCGAAGTCATGTAATTGAACATAAATCATCGATCAAATTTTCCATAATCCATAAACCTCAACTTGTAGTCACCATTGACGGTATATATTTTTGCAAAGACTGGTCTAATTTCAAAACAAACTCAGGCTAAAAGAAGATCCAGAAGGTAGAATCTATCACAACTATCAAAGACAAACTACTGCAGAAAATTCATCAGATAATATGCCGATATTATGTACAAAACAATCCATTGAAATAGCTTTAGAACAAATAATGCAGAAAGAAGATAATACTTACATGACAATGGAATGATCAACACAATATAGTCTGAATCCTCCGCTGCAGTGTTCAAATAATAAACTCGATATGCCCGAGCGACTTTCTTTATCTCATCCTCCTTACCAGTTAACCCAATTAGTTTAGGATGAAACTCTGTAAATTGAGAAGATTACAAAGATAAACCTCAACTAGCTCAAATTAGAGTTAGTGATCTAAACATTGAACAAAAGGAAGTACACAAAGAAGTACCTTTGACATATCCACGCACTTGTTCAACAGTATCTCTATCTGGATCACTGATAAAAACTGGTACAATTTCCAATACCTGCCTTTTCCTCTGACAATTGAGAAGAAGAACTACAGAAGCTTTGCCTTTTCCGCAGTGGTTCAGAGTGAGATAATGGAGACATCGATGAGCATTGCGTAGATAATTTGCTTTTCTGAATATACGAGTCGCCATGGCTGATTTTGATAAACCCTTCAGCAGCAAATGCAGGGAAGCAGAAACGGGAAGAGAGAGGTTTATCGGATTTCGCCAAAAAAAATATACGTTGATTTCCCGCGATTGTCAATATATGTTGGGCTGGTGGCCCAATAAATCTTTAGTGGTGCTTGTCGGTATCCTCATTTCTATGAGGCCAGAAAATATCTTTCAGTTAAAAGGAGGGAAATACTTTTATTAAAAAAAATTTCTGTAGTTCAAAGTTCAAACCTCAAATTATTTTGAATTATTTAGCATTAATTACTAAATAAAATAAATCATTAATATTAAGGCTCTAAATTATAAAACAATAAATTTTATTTTTTTGTTTTATTTTTATTAAAGAAATCCTCCTAGAATATTTATGTTGTTTTAATTTACATTATATTTAATTTGAAAAAAAAATTAATTAAATACATTATAATATATTTAAATATCATAATTTAATCTATTGAGACACTATTCCTTCTTCCCTCAATGAAAACATATTATATTCATAAACAGGTGGATGAGTTGAGAGAAAACTCTTTCAATTTAATTAGAAATTTTAATTTTAAGGTCTGAAAATACAATTTCGTTAAAACTGATAAAAAAAAGCTTTGTCACCCATTGAATTTTACCCGATTCAAATCTGAACTAATCAGTAACCTAATGAACTTCTGAATACCGAATAGTCCATAAAAAAAAATGAAAACATATTATTAGAATTCTTTTTCTTTTTCTTTTTCTAAATATGGTGGACGGCACTTTTCTCGAAATAAAAGAATTACTGAACCATTTATTTTTGCTTTATATATTTTACATCACCGCAGTTTAATTGACATTGATAGCAAATCCTTCTGGTCTTGTTACCGTAAGAAGTTTAACGCTGTGCAAATTTTTTTATACAACCTTCTATGGAGCAGGAGACAATCATTGCTTACTTAATGAGGCCATATGATAGATACAAGAGACCTGCATAACAATTTATTCCAAGAGAGATGTGCCTAATGCATCATTGTTTTCATTTTTTTGCCATCACTGCGTCATTATCGGCTCCACTCCTACCATTACATAATTTTTTATCGGCCACAAAAAGAAGCCGAAATGGGAACCAGGAGAACTCTTTATGACAGATATGTTGGAATCCAACGTTCACTACATCCATGAAGGAAGGCTCACCGGTTCTTAGACTGCAGAAGAAATGAACATTCAGTTAGGCATTCATCAAAAAAGAAAAAAAAAAAAAAAGAGGAAAATCTTCTAGTTGCAAGTTGCAACCAACCTTGATATCCTCTGACAGATCTTTCATTGTCTCAATAATTTGTTCTTTTTTCTGAGCAGCTGCACAAACGGCCAATGGTTTATAAGATTCATTACACTCGGCAAGATTGTTGATTAACCAAAACCTAAAGGGCAGGTATACAAAACTCACCCTTGGTGGATATATCTTCAATCTGCTTCGATGTCCTCACAGCAAACCTCTGGAATGCAGGACTGAAAACACAAATCAAATTTGAAAATACAATGGTCAGACTCATTGCATGCCACCATAATTTGAGCAACTAAATCCATGAAACAACAAAATATTGATGACAGTGACCTATAGCAATGTTATTGTTATAATCAAGGAACATCTGGAATATAAAGAAAAGGATACATGATTATATACCCTTAAAAGTATAACATAAAAGTAGACAATTCAATAACAGAAAGAAGCCTCAGTCTCATCTATGTTAGTAATTGTGATCATTTTCACAATCAGTACAAGCCTACAGAGAGTCATCACTGGCAAACAACTAGAGAAAAAACAGAAGAATAAAGCATTTGTAGCTCATATGTGGCTAATCTAAATAACAATATTGGGAAATCTGAAAAACATCCTATAGTTGCTCAGCAACTGGTTTAATACAGATTTCAACACACAAGATATTTTTTGGCTCAATTTGTAACACATCCAGAATAATAGAGATTCGTCCGCTACTAGGCAGAGATTTCCATGTGATAGCAATCATACACACAGAAAATGAACCATTCGGTCCTTCAAATCATATTTACACAGATGTGATTCAGGACTGCTGCAAAATTTACTCAAAATATCCCAAAAGGCAGTGTGTGGTATATTACACTGCCAAGGAAAAAGATATGGAATTTTTGAGACTGTTTCACTCCAGGGAGCAAACCATTTGGGAACAAGGGCATCGTGATGGCCAATTTAAGAAGCTTTAGTTAAGTTAGTTCACAAAAAATGAAGATTTACACAGGCAAATAATCTTTCACTTCAACTCATATCCGTATAGGCAATCTTGTCAACAATGACAATAAAGAAAATTTTAAAAAAACATTAACATATATCTAAATTCTTGAGATAAATCTTCTCAAACTCTCTTAACCTGCAAAACCATTATACAAAGCACTGCAGAAGAAGCTAAACATGACTATTTGAGTTGCTTTCACTTCAAGAGAACAAACTGACGGGTACCAACGAGGGGTTGGATCAAGTGGTAAGCGGCTTGTTCCAACTTAAGCAAGATCTCGAGTTCGAGACCTTGTGTACGCAGCAGCCCCCGCTGGGAGACTCACCCACCATTTCCAGGTGCGCGACGCATGTCGGGTCCGGAATAGTCGAGGCGAAGCCTCGGATACCGGGCGGGAAACCAAAAAACAAAGACTACAAAGTAATCCCGCCAACCAGAGAAAGAAGCTTCAATCATTGTTAAACAAAATCAAATCTCAGAAAAGAACAAAAAGTCAGTTTGTTACACAATTTTCTCAAACTTCCTAGACTGCAGCAAAGAATAGATCACACCGCAGAGAACACAATTTTAAAAGTCTGAGATCATCTCGCTTCAGAAATGAAAACCAATCAGACATGGTTTGTACTGACGGCCAACCATGAAGCTTCAATGATTTATTACATAATATTACAATACAAACAAAACTCAGCAGGATGAAATTTTTTTCTCAAACTTCCTAAGCTGCAGTTGTGCGTTTTCACATGGAACTGCAGCAGATGAAAACATTTTAGGAGTTTGAGATCATTTTGCTCCTGCTAAACCGATGGAAAATTGTTCTCGCAAATTCCCAAAGACCTTAATCGGAGCTCAATCAAACAAATCTATATGCAATTCAACATCAGCAGATGTTTAGAACAGTTTTTTTCGCACAGAAATTGAATCTGAAATAACAGGGATCAAACTACGGAACAGACCGGAAAAATCAGTACCTGTTTGCAAGACCATTAACGACGACCTCGTTCACAACATAGGAAATGACTCGGTGCATGAAATTCCCTCCCGCCATCGTTGCTTTCTGCAGTAACCGACATGGTAATCAAGAAACACAACAAGGCGTGATTCAGAAAAACCCTAATCGGAGAGGAATTTTTAGGCAGATCCAGGATGAGAGATGCCAGGGAACTTACCTTAGATATGGTAGCTGAAAAGAAGGCGAAGGTGACCTAATTTCCAGAACCTCCTCGAACTCCTGAGGCGTATTGAGCCTCCTTATATAGGCGTTGCAGCGGAAGTTCTCGCGATCTTCGTTCGGGTTGATGGCGGCGGCGAGGTAAGAATGCGGAGGGTTAGACTTTCTGGGTTTGGATTGGATCTGGAATCTGGATTCATGGGCCAAACTAAAACCCACTAAACGGGCCATCCACGAAGCAGCCTCCTTTTTTTCGACTCGGATGACTCCTCCTTCAGTCCTTCACTCGTCCTCTTTCCTTCATGCATTTATTAATTTCTTACTTTTAAACACTGCTGAGGTGAAAATGACAAAATTTAAAAGAATTTTGGTTTTGTGGTTTGGCTTTACTGAACTGCAAAAACAGAATTAGTTTTGTATACCATGGTTTAGACTTTACAAAACATTTTTGAATTAAAAAACATGCGCTAATATTTTCCTAGTTTTGTTAGGGTGTTCTCTCTTCTACGTCAGCTTTCTATGTAATTCAAGAGTAAATTTTCAATTTATGTCTATTTATTATTTAATAGATCTTTTTATTGTTAGGGTTTTTTTTTTTTTTGGATAAAATGTAAAAGTTTTATCTATGCAATAAAATTATTCTGTATACTCAAGCAGCTGCTACTACTTCAATCAATATAATTGCAGTTTTTAAAAATATCTTACTGTTAAGATTGCACTGTTATAATGCCTTCTAGCCCCCATTGCATTGCCACGAACACGGGCAGTGATGAAGATTTTGGCTTTGCAAAGCCCAAAACCTGACTTCTAATATCAAAATGAATATTATGTATAACCTGCAAAACAAATTGCAAATGTTGCCTTTGCACTCTGTTATTTCTCTCCCTCCAAACATAATAACTTGTAGCATTTCAAGCCATTTTAACAAGGTTACAGTATAAGGATTTCCTTCTAATTCACTTCCCCATCTAGGCTAATAAATGTTGCCAAGAGTAGAATTAGGGAATTCCTGTCATAACACAAATAATATGCCATATTTGCTTAGCAAAGTGATACTGAAAAAAAAAGATGAGTGCTTGTTTCCACTCCTGCTTACAGAACAGGCAGATATCATCAATACTAGGAGTCTATTTCTTCTGCCTATTTCTTATTGACGGTCTATCTAAGAGTGCTAGCCAACAAATGAAACTATGCTTCGAGATTGCATAAGGAAACCATACTAATTTGTGCCATGGAACCTTCTCTTGCTTTGCTCGTGGGGAATGCTATGCACTACTTGTCTTAAACACTCTCGAGGTAGAGGTAATTCAAATAACTGAGTCCTTCTTCTCGCTCTTGGGATATAGAGTGTCAAAAAGGCCCATCTAAATCATTACAAGTTGTGGGGAACAAGTAAGAGGTCAATTCCAAAATTGCCATTTACAACTTCAGAAAATTTGGCAAATAAGTGAAGACCCAAATCAAGAACAATTTTATTTCCATATGTTGTAATTAATGGTCCTGTAGGATGCCAATGGTCAAGCCATAAAAAAAATATCAATGCCATTACCAGGTACATGTTGTATTAAGCCCCTAATATAGCATCAAAACTTGAAAATTTTCCTCCATCCCCAAGATGAGTTAGAAGGAGTGTTGATAGACTAGAAACTCTTCGCTTTTAGCAAGTATTCTTTAACTCAAGCAACCCAAGTGGAGCTTGCCTTTGTGAAAATCATCCGAATGAATCTTAGTACACATGCCTTATTCCAATGAGCAAGGCTTTTTAGTTTTTAATCCCAAGCCACCTTCTTGTTTAGGGAAGCACACAAATTGCCAACTAACTTTAACACCCTTTGCACTTTCTGTTGAACCATTCCATAGAAAAGCACTACAAAGCCTTTCCACCTCCTCAATTACTTTCTCACGTAGGATACAAGTGGAGCACTAGAATGTTGCAATCTCCTGAATAACAGATGAAATTAATTGCAATCAACTAGCAAAAATATGTGTTTTAATGTCCAAGAGTTCATTCTCTCGATGATCTTGGATATCAGTGACTTAAGATCCTTCTCCATTAACCTTCCTATGATTAAAGGTACTCTTAGCTTCCTGACAAGGAACATGTCAATTTTGAAGCCATGGGTTAAGGCAAGATGTTGCACCATACTTTGAGAAATACCACAACAAAAAGGTTTTGACTTTGTATAACTCACCTCTACGCCAAAAACAGCATAAAAGCCCTTCAAAATATCACCAATAGTAGCAAGAAAGGATGACTTCCCATCTATAAAAATGATAAGATCATTAGGAAAACAAAGATGAGTAAGATTATCCTTTGCACACTTAGAGTGTTCTTAGTTAATTTTCGTGCATCTCAAATTAATTTTTTAATTTATTTTAAAGATCATTCACACTAGATTTGTAAATTTAAAAATTTAGTTTTTGAAGTGTTGGATTTGAAAACTTAAAATTTAGAACTAACTTATAATACAATATTTAATTCCCAGTGCAGTCGATTGTTGGATAAACATTTCATTGTTTGCAATTGAATTAAAATTCTAATTCCACTCCATCATCATCTTGCACATATAAATGAAATAACTTTGATAAAAAAAACAGTTTGTGGAGGTATCAAGCAAAATTCCATTTACAAAGAAGCCAGAAGGATCTGATTCCAAGTATCCGGCACACCTGGCAAGCACCAGTGTATGCAATCTGCATTCTTAGGATCCGCCCTTTGCTCCTCCGTTAACAATTTTCCTCCAGTCTCAGTATAAACCGAGGCATGCGCGTCAATTCTGTACTCCGAGATCTGTGTGACATTGACGACCGTCACCGGAACTTTCATCCTCTCCACCACACTGGCCACCACGCTCATCATCTCGTTGTTGGAACCGAATCCCCGGAACTTCTTCGTCGTCACCGGCCATGTCTCATTGAAGCACTTAGTTCCGTTTATATTCCCCCAGTCTGCACTCCTATACAGACATTCGATCAATAATAAGAGTTTAGTGGAGTTCATACTCCCTGGATCTTTAATAAATGTTGAGTAACTTCAGTTCATGTTCCAGTTGTGCAATGGATGTTGTTATGGTAGGTTAGAAAAGGGCAGAGAGAATTAGAGACCTTGAGTGTGTTGGAGACATGGTAACGAAGAAGATCCGCGTCTTGTTCGGGTTTACATTGGAATCCACCCAGTTAGCCCATGTCTTCAAACTAAGTCTGTATGCCACCGGTGCGTCTAGTACTTCATACCCTTCTGGTCCATTTGCAAACGATCCCCATCTGCATTCAAAAAATTATTCAAAGTTTTATACATAACTCAAAACCCCAACCGAGTAGCTACAGAGTTCAAAGTTTTATTCAAAGGTATTCAGATTTTTTATGAAGAGCTTACAAAGTCTTGTGCCTGGGGCCAGTCATCCACCAAATATAGGTATTGAACACGAGAAAATCCACTCCTCCCCAAAGTTTTGCTTGCTTTTCAACCGAATCAACTTTGATAATTCTATCATCTGGATCCAGAAAGTCGCCATCCGTATTTGATTCTACAATAAACGGAGCCCAGAAAAATTCAATCGTTGCATTATATTCCTGCAAGATTGAAATTGAACCATTTGCTTAATTAATTTTCTTCAATCATAATGTCACCAGAAATTTCTTAAGAAATTAATGTACACTAGTGTGTAATTAACCTTGGCTTTAAAGACATGATACCGATGGCCCCGTTTCATGGACTTCTGATCTTTGGGTATAAGCCATTCAACCATGCAGACCAAGGATTCCCATTGCCCTCTCTGCAGCGAATCACCGACGAAAAGCAACCTCTTCCCTCTCAGTTTCTTCAAGGCCAGTTTTGGATTGAACCTATATATATATATATATATATATATATGAACATGAAAACATTGGACACACTACATTAATTAATTTAGAGTTTCCTTTTAAGATAGCAAAATGGTAACTATTAAATGAGCAAGAAATTCCACTCTAATTAACGATTTAAATTTAATTTAGATTTGACAACACTTTTTTTAATAAATTTATGTGCAGAAGTCTCCAAAAACATAAAAGTCACCTGGGCAAGGTGCATTCATCCGGACGCCATTCCCAATGGCGGTAGTCGGAATCTGGCCGACCGTTTTTGACACAAGAAAATTGCAAATCGATGTAGGGACAACTTCTGTCCGTGTATAAAGGCTTAATAGAACGATTAAACACCCATTTCCCTTTGGCTACATTGCACTCTTTCGGGTCAAATTCGAACCTATCATCAATATCCGGATTTTCCATTTCCTCTGCAGTTTTCTGAACTATTAACCAATCAAACACAGTACAAAGAATTCAGAAAAAATCTCAACAGGGAAGTAAAGGTAATAAGTAGTACAAAAAGGACAAAGAAAATTCTGTTGATTTTTTAAAAAAATGATACTAACTTGGTTTTTTGGCGGTTTTTCTAGCACAGGACTTGGACTTGAAAACAGAACCGGATGACAAAGAACTGATTCTTTCTGTATACAATAGAGCGAAGAACAAGAAGCAGCAGACCACCAGAGTGATAACAGACATAGGCAGCTTTCCTCTGTAATATTTCATGATTGCTACAGGAGCCGCCAGGGACATCTTGGGAGCCTGGACGTAGGTTGCAGGGGGGGAAAAAGAGTTGGAGATGGCGCAAGACAATCATGATGGTGGGTTTTATGTAGTGTTTGAGTAGAAGTAAAGGTAAAGGCAAGTAAGGTTGGATTTTAACAATTTTTTTAGCTGGCATAAAATTGAAGGTTAGGGGGGAGTAAGATGGAAGGCTCACGTCTGGGGTGCCTTGCCACCTTCTGTTACAGCCGATTGTGGAATAAACATTAATCACATACACATTTTGATGTTGTTTTCATGTAAACGTTTTTTTGTAAGTAATCAACCGCTTGTCTTTTGACTTTGTGTTGGTATCATTGGAGCAAACATAGTTTTCTTCGAGCAGGTGAGAAGCTGCCCATCGTTTATATGCTGTTTTCCCTGAGAGAATGGAAACAGACTTGCGTCCTAAATTGTCTGTTACGGCCCCAAGGATATGTCAAGTTTTTATATACAAAATCAGCATGTAACTCAACTGCATTGCATAAAAGATCTAATATAAAAAAGAAAGAAAAGGTGCTTCACACAATTATTATACTGTGGACGTGACGTAACTAATCAATAATGATATGATATCTTTTAATAGATTAAGTAATACTAAACCATATAAAAATGGATGAATCGGCTTCTGGGGCTGAATAGTTCATTCTCAACCCTTTAAGCGTTTGGATTAAGTTCGTCAGGATTTTGAATCTCATTAATGCTTTTAAAATCTTTATTTTTTTTCTTCAAAAATTATAAATTGTTTAAATATATATATATATATATATGCAAAAGAGAATGGTATTTTTTTTTTCTAATTAAATTTTTTTTATCTGATTAAGATTTAAATTTAAAATCAACTTAAAATCTTAAACTTTTAACAATTGAATCACCTTTAAAAAGTAATAATAGAAATGATATGATATGTTATAATAGAAATTATCATTTACAAATTTTATTTTAAGAATTGACATTTTGGAGTTATATTGAAAATGGTGGAATAGAAATAAACTAGAAAATATTATGAGAAATGAGTACTACCAGCTAATTATAATCAATTAAAAACATAAAATCATCACAAACTCATAATATGTTGGTGGTAATTATACATTTGTTAAATGGAGTCAAGCGCTATGCAGGTAATATGCATTTGATAGCTATCTTTTAATTGATAGTTATCATTGCTTTAAAATCAAATTGAGCCATAGGTTTTATCTATTTCATGATGTGAGAGATTCATGAACAACATATAAAGGACTCCAACTTTGGTTTACTCATCATTTTTTTCACCCCCCTTTTTTTGGTGTGTTAGTTGTACATCCAAAATGGAAAATAAGGACTGGAATATGAGACCTATATGGGGTGAAAGTGCATTTTTTCTATCAAACCTTAAGACGGGTCATGAGATTTTGAAAAAGGTGAGATTATTTACTGGCATATAGTCCACTGTAATAAAAATGATATTTGCATATGATGCCTTTTGTCATGTGTATTTACTTGAAAAGGAATTTAGTCCCTGAAAAGGACTTGACCATACGAACTGCCTAATTGCAAATGTACTCTGCCATCACTTTGTTTCAAAAACCAATTCAATTTCAAAGGAGAAAATCAGTTTATCTAATAAATTTAATAAAAATATAATTAATAACCATGTAGAGCCTATATGATCCAATTAAAAAATTTTAAATTTAAATCATATGATATATTGTTACTTTTTATTATATAACTAAGATTTTAAAAAAAACCTATTAAAAAGTGTGTGATTGTACTACGTTAGTGTGACAAGAATGATGCAAATATATATCTAGAGACTTATGAAATCTTAAAATTAGTTTTTTCGAGATCAAAACAATGTGTGAATCATATATGTTAGTCTTGTTTGTGCTCCTGGGGGCTCGGTCTCCCATAATTTCTTTAATAGAAAACCAAGGGTACGAGGTCAAGTTATTAGCGAAAAGGGATGCTTATATTTAATTCTATTAAGTAGTCAGAATGTTTATTATTGTATTTGGTGCCAAAAGGTCTAACGGATACAGTAAAGTGTAGACCTTTGAACATATCTCCTAGTCAGATTGTTTATAAATTGTGTTTAGGGCCGAAAGGTCTAACAGATACATTAAAATGTTGACCTTTGAACATATATCTGATTATTTATGACGGTTGTTTAAGCTAGGTTGGGCTCTTAGTGAAAGTGAAGTCTTCTGGTCCTTGTATAGTTGTCTTTTCAGGCTGGAATTTGATTGACACACAAAACCTTAGTTTTTACAATGTGGGCCGTGGGGGTCTTACCTTGTATATCAGATTGTGATCATTGAATGTCATGAAATTGGTTGTTAAAATCTCATTAAAAAAAAAGGTTGGTTGTTAAAATGGATTGACATTTAAGCTGAGTAATCTTGTCAGAGTTTTGTCCTCCTGGAAAAATAAGGAGGGACTGAATAAATTTTGGAAATTTAAGTGAGGGACTGCATATATTGGTTGTTTATAGATTTAATTAATATGAACTGTGATTACATATCATCCATGAGTTTTGAATCAATTAAGAATGCATACTGATACTGCAATCCTTATTAAGCAAGGTGTGCCGTGTGCTGAAACATTGTTTGGCTCTTCCTATTATACTCTGTTCAGTATTTATGCTATGGCAGAACTATTGGCATTTTACTTTATATATCAAGACACTTTAAAATGTTATTACCTGTTGGATAGCAATCTTATGATTGTGATTATTCTGTAGGTTGCGGTAGTGAGTGGTCCTGATAGAGCATCTCTAAGCCAAGCTTGGAAATCATGGATAGAGGAACATATAAAAAGCCAGAGGAAAGATCCCACCTGGCATACAAAGAAGCCAGATCTTCGGACTTACCCCTGGTCATTATGTCCAACTCAGTTCCATTAGAGGAATTCATTGATAAGTTGGTGAAGGAGAACAAGGTGGTGGCCTTTATTAAGGGATCCAGAGGATTCTCACAGAGAGAATTGGCATTCTTGAAAGTGATGAAGGGGTGGATTCTGAGAATGTTTCGTGCTTGATGAAGAATACAACTGTGGATCGAGGGAGACTTTGAAGTACAGTAACCGGCCCACAATTTCACAAAATTTTGTGAATGGGGAATTGGTAGGAGGGTGTGATATCCTAACCTCCATGCAGGAGAAAGGTGAGCTTGTCGGCTTGTTGGCTTGTTGAGACTCTTGAGAAAGCAGTTGCTTTTAAAATTCTTTTAGTAAATGGCCTTTGCGTGAAAGAAAGTGCTTCTAGGAAGAATAAGAATGAGATTATGAGGGACAATAGATACTTGCTAGTGTCTTGAAAGTTAGGATTGTAATCTACTGCATATTCTTTGCTTGAAAAACCTTCTGACGAGGAGATTGTATACTTGCTGCCAGCTTGTGCCTTGAAAGTTTTGTGCATTGCAAGGGAGCCGTCACAACGAACTGTCCATTTTGCCGCTTAAGCTTCCCAATTTTGCCTTCAAAATGCTTACCTATTCAACATGATTTCATAACTGTATCTTTCATTTCCATTTGAACCCATATGCTAAGTTGCTAACCTCATTTTTATCAATCCTTTAATCTCTCTTTTTTTTCTTCTTCTTCTTCTTCTTTTTTTTTTTTTATAATTTGTAACGTGAGTTTGCAATTTGCTCATTGATCTGATAATGAAATGATTAAGCATTGACAATCATTTTAATTTTTAAATAAAGCTCTTTGAAGTTTTTTAATATAAAAAAAATGATTTGTTAATAATATTTATTAAAAGTTATTTATTTGAAGGTGAACTAATCAATTCAAGAAACAGTTTTTTAATACGAAGACAATGATTTGTTAATAATATTTATCAAAAATTATTTATTTGAAAATTATCAACAAATCAATTCAAGAAACAGTTTATTTTGAAAAAGTGGACAGCATAAAAGAACAATAATTGAAATATTATTGACTATAAAAAAGCTTAAACAAACACAATGAGAAAATCATTGACTCTAAAAAAATAGTTGTCTCCAACTTTTCTACAGTAAAAAATACTACTATAATTAGAATACTTTATTTTTGCGTTCTAATCCAAAAATAGCAGTGCTGTGTCACTTACGACCAGGGTTACTCATGTCATTTTCCTACAAATAAGACGGGTTGTTATGACCTTTCATCCTTCTCAATTCTTCATCTTCATCATCCTTTCTCGATAAAGTAATTCAGCTTACCTGTCAATCGGGAAACAAAGAAGATTCAGGTGTTTCGTGAATTGTGTTTTTTTTATTATTATTATTATGGAAATAGAATCCTCTCCCGGCGGATTCAAGCTCTACGATCAATTAGAATTGCAGGAGTTTCAGGATAAGTTCGTCATCAAATCCATAGAATCTCCCGATCAAGGCTTCTCGATCGGCCGTCGCGAAGGGAGTATCGAGCTATTGAACGGTAAGGATTGAGTCTTCTGAGTTGCATATTTATTTTGACGATTTTTAGTATCCATTAATCGCCATGTTTTTGGTGTTGCAGCTGAATCTTGCTCAGAAAATCCATCAAAAACATCTACAATTTATGGAGTTGTTGGAACAATAAGATTGCTTACAGGTATGAATTTGCAT